ACCCTTCTGCCGACTCCGCAAAAAATAATTGTGTCATCGGCGTACAGAAGAATAAATAACTTGATATACAAATCAAGATTCTCTGTATTTTTTTCATTTATAAATTTTAGACCATCCACAGAGTTTTCATCCAGATATTCCTCCAAGTCATTCAGGTATAAGGCAAAGAGAAAGGGTGACATTTTTTCTGCCTGTCTTACACCTACCTCACACGGGAACAAATCTGTTTTTAGTTCTCAATTTTTAACACAAGACTTAATATCTGTATAGATGCTCAATATAACTTTAAACATTTTCCCACCAATGTTATATTTTAATAGTTTTTGCCATAGTCCCACCCTCCACACTGTGTCAAAAGCTTTTCTAAAATCTACAAAAGCGCAAAATAATTTCTTTCCCGAACTCAAATATAGTGAAATTAAAGCATGCATGACAAACATACTATCTTGGACAGAATACCCCTTTCGAAAACCACCCTGGGCATCAGTTATAATCCCGATCTCGTCTGACAGAGCATTAAGTCTTGAATTAAGTATAGAGGTGAACACTTTTCCTAAATTCGATGTAAGACAAATAGCTCGGTAATTATCCAAATTATTTGGATCCCCCTTGTTTTTAAATAACGGCTTTATGATACCAATAAGCCTTGAATTTGGAACGATTCCAGAATCAAACACTAAATTGAATAACTTAGTGTAAATAGGCAAAAATTGATTCACCTTGCTTTTTATATATTCGTTGACAATCTCATCTTCCCCTGGGGCTTTACCATTACTTAATTGTTTAACAGCTGACAGTATTTCGTTCTCTTTAATTTCCTGATCTATAATTTCAATAACACCCTGACTTTTTATACTATTAGCTAATTCCTCATAATCAATATCATCATCTGGAACATCGCTCTTATTTAATTACTTACAATACTCATATAATTGATCAATAGTAATTTGGATATCTTTATCTGACCCCCTCTATCAAATCTTTTCAAAATTTTCCAAAATTTACCAGAATCTTTTTTCGAAAGTTTACGCATGTCAGATTCTAGTGCATGTTGAAAACTCTCAAAACTTTTATTCATTTCGGTTCTGTAGGCTTTCCCGGACTTTTTCATCTCATCTCGGTTCTCTTTATTTTTATTAAAACTGTAACGATTTTTCGCTTTATGGAAAACCTTTCGCTTATCACTGCACGTTTTATTAAACCAAAGTTGGTAAGAAGATCCAGATGGATAGAATCTTCCCTTTGGTTTAAATACACGATTAGCAGTGCTTTTAAAAATATCACCTATTTTGTCAACGACTGTATTGATTCGTTCTTTTGGATCATTACTGTCCTCCGACAAAAGCAGTGATATCTCGTCTAATTTTGTAACGTCTTTGACGAGTGTCTCAATAAACCGGTTTTCCTCGTCTGGGATCCATCGTGCATGTACTGCATACACTTGTTCGCATTTATTTGCATGAGAAAAAAAAATCATTATTTACGTGAATAATTATGAATATTAAATCAGCATTAACATTCTAAGTCATTCCAATCATCCTCGATCCCTGTCAAGTAAGCTTGCAATTGTTCGTCTGATTTTAAACGTTAAAAAAAAAAAGTCTGACAAAGAACCAAACGACGCTTCTTTTTTTCTTTCAAAAAAACTAATCTACAAGATCTTTAATCTGTCAGCCTTTCAGTTCAGCATGTTTTTTTTGTGGACAAAGCAATTGAAAGAGTGTACTATGTTAGCTTTTCTTCAAACAATTCAAAAAGAAAACATAGAATTGAAAACAAACGGTGAATGACGCAAAATGCTGACTAATTTAATCCGATAAGTAGATCAAAATGAAATAGAAAAAGAAGAAACAATTAAAACGACAGGACTGCACATTGATGGCATATGGAGGTGGTTTGGCTTCAGGGGGAAAACACTTTATTTGATAATATATAGCCATTTAATTTTTTAACACGTCTGGCGTATCAAATTATAAGCCTGGTACCTTTGATAACTATTTTTAATTTCATTTCTAGAATTGTGCATTCAAAGGGAATAGGTTTTAGTTTTCTTGTTTTAATTGTTTTACATACTTATGTCATTTCGGGACCCTTTATAGCTAACTATAAGGTATAAAATTTAGCTCATTGTTGAAGTCCGTACGCAGACCTAGACATTTTGTAGTTTTAATCCTCTAAGTCATTTGGTATGTGGTGGAAAGTTGTCTTATTGGAAATCATACCATATCTTATTTTTAAATTATTCTTTGTTTTATGATTTTTTGACTTTTCAAAAAACAAGAACAAATAAACACAAATAAACGATGTACAATCCAAAAGTCATGCTATAAAGAAGCAAAAGATAAATAGATAAATAAGACTTGTTGTTTTCATAACTTATGTTGTTTCATTTATTTGCGCTACGAAAACATTGAACCATACCAGTTTCATTACTTTCAAAGGAATCCAAATTCACACCTAGGTTTTTGAACAGGCTTATAGCAGAATACCGTGTTTCCGTTAACCACGTTATTGGCGAGTTGAAATGGAATACGGAGGCAAACTCGTCACAAACTCAAAGCCATTGTTGAAGTTTTGAAAATCGCAAAAAACAACTTTTGAATTAGTATAAAATTATAAAAGCATAATGTTTACAATATTTTTATCGTTTTCAGATAGCTCCCGTCATTTAAAATGTCTTACTATTACTCGTGGTCAGACTTGGGTCGTAGTCAAACAGTTATTGTCAATATTTCATAGTAGAGATTTACAAAAACTACCCGAATTTGAGTCCGAGTACGACTACAAATCATAGAGGTAAGCTTTAGAGGTGATCTCAAATTAATGTGTTCACTAATTAATTTGACCGTCTTAAATCTTTGAGTTGTAATATGATAGGACACAGCCATTCATCAAATTATTGTTTTTCCTGAAGGGTTGCAGTAAACGCTTTTTAGTTATTCTCTCTTTATAACAGTTTTTTTTTCAAAATCTAATACCTTCACAACAATCTTGTGCTCGTGCTATCTGATCGCTTCTGTATTGATATCTATTCGATTTGATGAATTATTTGAAGGGAATTGAATATTACTATTGTTCATTTTTTTAAACAATATATTTTCCCATAGTATACAGTCTTGGAGGATAGGATATCTATTTCAATTGCATGATTGCAAATTATTTCAAATCGTTTTTGATCAGAAAACTTTATAGCTGCGAGTGAATTTTAATGCATTTTCCTTGTTTCCTTTATGTTATGTGATAATATATAGCCATATTAATTTTTTTTTAATTTTATTTTTGGAACTGTTTATTTAAAGGGAATATATTTTAGATTTCTCGTTACGGTTGTTTTACATATGTCATTTCGGAACCCTTTATAGCTGACTATGCGGTATGGTTGTTGCTCATTTTTAAAGTCCGTATGCAGACCCATTCATTTTGTAGTTTTGTAAGTCATTTGGTATTTGATGGAAAGTTGTCTTATTGGATTACAGAACATATCTTATTTTTAAATTATTCTTTGTTTTATGATTGTTTCACTTTTCGTATTTTGTTCTTCCTTAAAAGAAGAACAACTAAATTACATAAACGATGTACAATCTACTACCAGTAATACTACTACTACTACTACTACTACTACTACTACTTCTACTACTACTACTACTACAACAACTACTACTACTACTACTACTACTACTACTTCTACTACTACTACTTACTACTACTACTACTACAACAATTACTACTACTACTACTACTACTACTACTACTACTTCTACTACTACTACTACTACTTATATTACTACTACTACTACTACTCATACTACAACTACTACTACTACTTCTACTACTACTACTACTACTACTTCTACTACTACTACTACTACTACTACTACTACTACTACTTCTACCACCACTATTACTCGTGTCACGAAATAGAAATGTCTTCCTAATATAAGTTTCAAAAAATTCTGGAATATTATTTTAACTAATATATAATAAATATTACAGTATATGTTCCTTACGGAAAAAGTTAAAGAATATGTGTTCCAACAGGAACAGATATTGTGACATTGTTTATAAGAAAGCTAATAGTGGAATTTTTGTTAGGCGGAACTAATATACGTTGACACCACAACTACTACTACTACTATTACTACTATTACTACTACTTGTACTACTTCTTGCACTCCTTCCGTAATAATAATAATAATTATAAAGATAAAATAATTTTTCAATTTATTTTGTATATAGTTCGTGCAGAAAACAAATGAAACAGTTTCTTAAACCATCATTAAGTTTACAACTTTGTCCTCAATTATGACAACTTGTATTTATAGTTTTTAAAGCGCGAGGTTTGGCTAGCCACAACACCAGATTCAACCCACCATTTTTTCTTAAAATTTCCTGTACCAAGTCAGGAAAATGACAGTTTTTCTCTAATAATTTGTGTCTATGTATGTTGCAATGTCGTTTGTTTTTTGTTGCACTTCATTTTTTCTGTGGTTTCGTTGTTTTCCTCTTATAGTTGATGTGTTTCCCTCGGTTTTAGTTTGTTACCCGGATTTGTTGTATCTCAATCGAATTATTACTTTTGAACAGCGGTATACTACTTTTGCCTTTATCTATATAAGTTTGAATTAAAAGATTACATTAATTTAGTGGATTTTGAGTAAAAGGAAAACAATGAGATAATAAGTTTCGACAAGCTTATGATGTATATGTTGTACAAGAACTGGACATTTTCTCGTCAATAATGTGCAGCGTTAATTGATATGTTTTAATAGGTATGTCTGAAAAATGGTTCCAGTTAGTGGCTCAAATTCAATGTACTTGTGTAAAAGAAATAAAGATTCTGCATTGCATATAATTGACACTATTCTGCCATTATAATATGACAGATTCAATTTAGTGTGAATGTAATATGATCAGACAGTGTAACTTTTTTGGTATAAGATACAAGATAAGTATAGTTAACGAATCTATTTAATGTCAATAACTTTTTTATTTCTATATAGATTTGCATATCCTTCAAAGATTATAACATTGCAGACAATTGTCAAGACAAGTTCATATTCATCAGGAATAGCTGTTGATTCAGCAACTGATCATATCTACTGGACTGAAGTTCATGGTCTACTCTCAAAATGCAATCTAGTTGGAATTAATGTAGCAACTGTTGTATCTTCACTAAACAATCCTTGGGTGATACGACTTGATATTACAAACAGGTATGCTGTTTTAGCGAGAACTGAATATTTGTGTTAACTGAACAATACACCTGTGTTTCTTTTCAGGCAACATCAAGAAAGAAATGCCATTTCATATCATTTATACATATGCGAATGGTTATTTATACATTGTTCGTGTTGTTTAATATAACCATTTACAAACACTTCAGACCAACGGTTTTTAATTTCTTTTGTAAATTTATCATTGACAAGTGTTACGAATATTTTGTCTCTTATGGATTCTTCTGCACATTTTTCACATGTAGTGAATGCTTCATTTGCGCTATTTGCAAAGCCTAAACTAAATTTTTCTAAAAGGATACACATTTGTTGATTTGCAAAGTTCGGAAGATGACACGATTTCATGTTCGATTAAAAGACAACAAAAAGACATAATTGGCAGTGGGAAGTATAGACCAAAAAAGGCTTATTTATATTAAACAAACAATGTTATTACACGTTAAGATATGTACGAACTAAATTCATTTTAATATTTTACCTAAATATTTGTTTTGTATAAAATAAGAGGTATAAATCACATAATGTTTTAGTTATCTTCAGTCATTTGGTTATAACTAAACCGAATTCGATAAATAATATCCGGAAAAGCCAAAGGCGTTGCAAGGTTTAATATAAATCAGTAGGCTTGTTTAAACTAAAGTATAAGTACGTCATGTGAAGCGCTTAAAACGTTCAAATTTGTTTGCTTCTTTTGGTGTACACATATCGTTGTTATATCTAGGGAATATATAAACATTATGCATTGTTTTAAAAGCAATTTGATACAAATCATGAATTCAAGGTAGTATTACTACATGTTACTATGAACAACGGTTTTTTTATGGAGTATAGTCACATGTTATTTCCAACAGGTATTACTCTGAAAATTTAGACCAAGGAAAATCCGTTTACCACTTTTATTTTGATCTCCCTCAATCTAAAAGCAAAATACGTAAGCTGATGTATCTTCGGTCTAATCAAACTGTGTTTTCTTCTTAGACATGTGACAAACCAATTTTCAGTCCATATTTTGATCCTCCAAATAGCATCAACAGGTAGTTTGATCATTGCATATTTTATTCGTATATAACATGATACTAAATTGTTTAATGAGAAAAATCATCTTATAGAATACGAATATTTTGTTTATTTATACGTAAAATATAATCTGAGGTTTAACCCAGAGGAGCTAAACAGTTCCATGTAATTTTAATAATAGACATTGAACAAGCTGTCAGTACCTTTGATTACTATTAAATAGGTTTTTTGTGTATTCAATTTTGAGTTAGCTCTTTTTTATTTGTGTTGTGTTTCTCTGATTAGTTTATGCTTGCATTTGTTCTTATGTTGCTATGAACCCTTCATCAACAAAACATATGTATATACAACATATTTTAAACAATTTAAACTGAAGTCTTAGGCAAAATTTCTAACAGGTCTATTCTGATGAAAACATGCGTTGCGTTAAACCAACAAGATCACAAGCATATCTGTAAACATCCAGACGACCAGATTTAAACAAATATTATTACAAATGTGTTTTGTTTAACGGATCATAATCAAGATCAATCATCATATCAGTCATTGGAGGAACAATATTTAAAAGTGATTTTCAAATTCTACTCTCATAAATCAACAACTGTCCTTTGTAAGTACATTGGAAGATTTTGCTTGTATTATGTGTTTTGTAGCAGATATATCATTTAACAAGGCCGTCTGAGCCAATATGTGAATCTGATTGACTGAAATTTTATCAAAGGATTTAACGATGATAAAAACAGTATATGATGGGGTTATAAAATGTGTTTTTGAATAATAGTCATCATATAGCATTGTCCGCCTCTCTTGTTATCGTTTATAAAAAAAAAGTAACAACACATACATACTCAAACATACACTGATCATTAAACTTTGATTTTTTTTTATGTTGTCAAACTTTGATTTGTCTTTCAGGTGGATGTATATAGTAGAACATTATATAGGAATATTGAAGTCTACTTTCGATTTATCTGAAAAGCGGACGATCGTTAACTTCACATCAACACCTGTTTATTGCATGGATATAGGTAGGAGGTCATTGTAAAAATGTTGCCTAAAATGTGACAGCTGGCATTTATCTTCATTTTAAGATTTGATATTTATATTCAGATTTTTGTATAATTATGTTAATGTTAATGTGGACATTGTGGCATGGATGGATAAACCATATCCTGTGGCTTTCTATTATTATATTTACCATCAATGAAAGTGTAAGCCATCCACATAATTTGTACAACAAAAGGAACTATTGGAAAATATATATCAGGACATTATAAATGTTCTCATGAAAAACTTTGCAGTCTATCTGTCATCACTGTTATGGATGATATTCAATTAAGAAGTTTAGTAACATAACCATAGAAGCAAAATAATGTCTGAACAATTCGATCTCATTGCTTATTTCTGGTGCTTTCATCTAAACATATTAAAAACTTCCTTCACAGGTTGAACATTTTTATAACTCACAGATAATATTTTAATTATCTTAACTTCGTACTTTGTTTGGCCTTTTAAACTTGTTTTGATTCGAGCGTCACTAGTGAGTCTTTTGTAGACGAAACACGCGTCTAGCGTAAATACAAAGTTTTAATCCTGATATCTATGATGATTTTATTAATATAAAAACATCTAAGCTTTAAAAAAAACTATAAAACTTTAGCATGTTTAGGTTAATTTAACCTTAAAGTACGAATTGAAAAAAAAAAAAAATAAAACAGTACAATTCGAAAGAACCTATCAATATTGTGAAACAAGATCTTCTCAGAAAAAAATTCAAATGTATATACATTTAAATATTTTAAGGTTATAAGTATATGTTGTTTAGATATGATACTTCATGGTCCTTTCTTAAGTTCAAACTGCAAGCCAAAGACTTTGTTCATAAAATTGAGAATGGAAATGGGGAATATGTCAAAGAGACAAGTACCCGACCAAAGAGCAGAAAACAGCCGAAGGCCACCAATTGGTCTTCAACACAGCGAGATAATCCCGCTCCCGGAGGAGGCACTGGCCCCTAAATAAAAATTTGTACTAGTTTAGTACTAATGGACGACATACTAAACTCCAAAACAGATGAATAAACTTAAATAAAAAACAAACGCACAAGACTAACAAAGACCAGAGGATCATGTCTTGCGACAAGCGCAAAAATGCAGCGTAGTTAAACATGTTTTGTGAGATCTCAACGCTCCCCCCATACCTATAGCCAATGTAGAATAAAACAAACACAAAGCAATACACACTGTGAAACTCAGTTTAAAAGAATTCCGAGTCAAATGTCATAATAGGTAACAGAAGAAACTAAGCAAAATGACAATAATACATACATGAACAAAGGACTACTAGCAGTTACTAACATGCCAACTCCAGACTTAAATAAAACTGATTGGAAAATTCTGTCTTCTTATGAAAATCTAGCACAACACCTCCAGGTAGGGGTTTAGTGTCATACCATCATTAAATGTATGATAAGAACATAACCCGTATCACGCCAACAACTGGTTTCAGATAAAATGTGTTTTTGTCCGATGCAAAGACCATAAGAGTGAATGCCGAAATGTGTGTGCTTTGTAAAGAATATTACTATTAAAGATTGAATGTGAAATACCTGAACGTATAAAATAACTGCATGTTAATGTCCTTGTATTGATGATTTAATTTAGTAAATGTTTTGACTAGTTTCTGATATCGAAAACCCTGGTGCAATAATTGTTCAGTAATACAGAGATTTATTTTGTAAAGATCAAATACTTTGTTACATACACGAGCGAATCGAACAAGTTCAGATATATACACACCATAAGATTGTGACAGGGGAATGTCACCATCGAAAAATGGATACCTAACAATAGGAAAGGAAAAATCATATCTTTTATCATTAAGTTTGATATTATTTGTCCCGTTAAAGATATAGATATCAAGATCCAGAAAAGGGCAGTTTCTTTAAAGTTAGTTTCAGTAGGATAAATATCTATAGTGTACATAATGAAGTCGTCATTATTGAGAGCCAATATAGCATCCAATTATATAAAAGTGTGATTAAATGTGTGTATCAGATATTGTTTCGGTGGGTCTTTGCTGATTTTAGTCATAAATCGTAACTCATAACAATACAGAAACAGGTCCGCAATAAGTGGTGCACAGTTAGTCCCCATTGGAATTCTGATAACTTTACGATATACGGAATCACCATAGCGAACAAAAATGATATCTAGTAAAAATTCAAGGGCAGTTATAGTATTAAGGCGAGTTCCATTGACATAGTTCTTTTGTTTGTTGTTACTAAAAATGACCTAAAACAAAAAGAGTTTGAACATATATATTTTGACTTCTGACTTTTTAAAACCATTCAATTAGGTGTGTGATTTTTTTCTTTATAAGATAATAACATAAAGTTGTATCTAGGGTAATAAAATCTAAATTTTGAACAGATTCGAAATCACAAATATTTGCATGCAATTTATCAATTATTTCCAAATAATTTTTGACACTTCAAAAGTAATTAGTTCTACTATTTTCAAAGGCTTTATTTGAACAATTTATTACCAGGATTTTTTTTATTGTACTCAGTGTACATGTACTTGTAAGTAAAATAAACATTTTAGTAGTAGCAGACTTGAAGACGAAATATATTTATATGTGTAAGGTGTTTTGTGCAGCTTCGGAAGCGAGTACATAGTTTAAACTGTCAATGTATTTTGTTCTGCTTGTAAAGAGGCAGCTAAAAGTTGTTGTTTGTTACAGATGAATTTTTTTGAATATAGAGTCATTGGAATGTTAGTGAACTCGTTATTTCCTTTTGCAGAACAGTGTTTGATCTAATGTCAATTTAGCTGGTAACATAATTATTTGACAATTGAATGAGTTCTTAAATTATTATATTTATTGATCATATGCATAAAGTTAAGTAATCCATGAATCAAGTAGGTTAAATGTTTGAACTGCATTATAATCTTATTTTTAAACGAACGAACGTTGCATAGTTTAGTAGAATGAACTTTGAAAATATAATTACGTCAGTATCATAATCCTAGATAAAACAAATACTTTATATACAGAGTAGGCTTTTTAAAGTATTGTGTTAAAGTTAAAATGGAGTTACACATGTTACAGGCATTTAGATATCAAACCATTGTTCAACAAATTTCTTTAAATCTATGTAACTTCATGCGTGCCTTTTTATATGACACATGGAGATGTGTTGGCAAGTGTGTTCCCAATTTATAATTCTTGACAGTTACTGAAAACAATATCATATTGATATACGATCATAATAATGAACTCATTTCGGAGCCTTTTACAGCTGACTATGCGGTATGGGCTTTGCTCGTTGTTGAAGGCCGTACGGTGACCTATATTTGTTAATTTCTATGTCATTTGGTCTCTTGTGGAGAGTTGTCTCATTGGCAATCATTCCACATCTTCTTTTTTATATTTATGGATATGTCCTCATCGTCATTTGACATACTTTCTGAAGATATTTTGTCATAGTGTTTAAAACATTTTTTGTTCACGGCTTAGTGTTCAGAACATTCGAAGTGCTGATCAAATATGTTTTACCTACACGTTGGTGGAACAAAAAGTGATAGAATTTGTAAACATTTATGACATTAAATTACTTCGTCGTTAATCTAGGTAAATCAATCGTGACGTTAACACCAGATTTATAAATAAAATAACTGAACTACGTTTATATATTATTGTTGTAAGAATGAATTTTAATTGATCCACCACTTGTTTCAACATATTGTAGACACTGAAGAGAACAGACTGTATTGGATTAATCACGATGGTGACATGAAATCATGTAAAGACGATGGCTCTGATGTTAAAACAATACTTTCAACAAACATAAGTAGAAGCTACTTAGCTATCAGTGTCGTCGGTAGTAACATATATTATGCAAATGACAATCAGTTGGTAATGGTAACTAAAACACCAGGATCCACGCCGACTATTCTGTATAACGATACCAACAGGATTGACAGTATATTTATGTTCAATTTATCAGGTATGTATATAACCATCTATAATCACGTATATGTTCACAATAACTGAAAAGTGGTCGTTTGCGTTTGAAAATAGATTTAATGTTGAAATTACAATGTACATTCTGATTAACATTAAATGTTCATATATCGTTTGTCTCCATATTTTAAAGATTTGTTAGTTTTTTTTTAATCTGTATTTTAATGCACCTAACATGTGAAGTACAGCACGAATGATACATTGTTTTGATGATGTTTTAATAAAATGGAATAAACGTCTATGAAAGCAACCAAGCATTACATAAGAAATAGAATGATATTTGAAAGAACCAATCCTTTTTCACTCAGTTGGGAATTGTCATAAGTAGATCACTACTACTAAGAAGTATCATTAAAGTCAATTTTGCTAATATTGTAAACTATGACTATTTCATAGGATTAAACGCATTTTGTTATTGTTTCACATGTTTATATCGTTTATTTCGAATTGCTTGTTGCTTTTTAATTTCTATATACAGCTTTTACTTATTATTTACATTTCTTATTATTCTGGTTAACTAACTAAATGTACATTTGTAGTTTCTTCTTAACGTTGGCTTCAATGCATTCCATGTAAATTGCTTATTCAATGTTTTTATCATATAAGTTAAAGGTACATTTGTATTCTATAACTTTTGCATTGTCTTGACTGATCAAAAGAATTAATATTGATGTTTTGTTGTTAATTGAATAACTGAATTTAATTTCTTCCATCTCGTTCATCTTTTTACAATTGTTGATAATTTCATGGAAACAGGTTATTTGTCTGTTATTGTTTAAGTCTGCATTTTTTATGAATGAAATTGTGCGAAGCAACCAAAAGGTAAGTAATTTTAACCTAATTTTTAAATCTTAGTCAAATCAATATACTTCTTTTCCCTGTTAGTATTACAATACAAAAATGTGGTAGCATTGGCAACAAAGACAATTCTTAGCATCTGTTTTAATTGAATAGCATTACGTTTTTAATATTAAACAAAGAATCATTCTTCTTTGCACTATCAGTATCAACATGAAATATTGGATAATTCTCAACCGAGACAACTATTCATTTGTTTCAATTGAATAGTAATATCATGCTTATGTTTATAAAGTCAATTTAATTCACCATGTCTCGTTTTTCGCATAATTTGATTATTTTCCATACTTTATACACATGAACTTTTACATAGCAGTACTACACGCGAAAAAAGAAGGAAAAAATCACAAAAGCTCTTTAAGCTATATCCCCATTTTCACTGTTCATTTTAATACATCTCACCTGAGTGTGATGCAGCGCTGCCAGTACATGTTTGACGTCAGGGAGAGATGAATAGATCCTATAATCAGTAATCAAGCTTTATAGAAGTAGAAACTTAAAACAGGATAAATTGTGTTATATTAAAGTCTTGCATAGTGCTGTATTTGTGTGAATTTTATCAACATGTCAACAATTTTTGATAAAATTTCTATGATAACAGAAAACTGGTTATATTAGTCGGATAAAGAAGTTGATATTAAATAATACATCAAAGTTGTGCTATTCTGTAGTAGTCATTAATCTTAATGAAGGTTCCTTATTTGCCTATTCATGTAAAGATTCAAATAAATAGAAAAATGCTTTAACAAATATGTCTGAAGTCATTTGATAAAGAACAACCAACATGACATTTTTCAAAATGCATGACATATATAAAGAATACAGGTGCGCTTATCATAATAGATATTTACTTCATCCTTTTCTTGACAGATTGAACTAGAGTGGTCGAATATAATTCAATTGTCAAACCAAACTGAAATGGTAGATGGAAAGGTGATACACATACAAGTTACAGTTTACTAGATTCCATGATCTATCAAAATACCGCATAAGAATAGCAAACACGTTGCGAATTGTTGGAACAAATATATAAGTAAACAATGGTCAAACACCGGTACACGGTAGAACATTAACTTGATGTTCTTCATAAACTTCTTAGATGACAATTCACAATAGGGTTTGTACGAGGATCATTCTGGAAATATAAATAACAGACACAGCTCTTATATGTTTATATATTATAATAGTTTTTGCTACAATTATTGGAGGGTGGGATTTCAAATCACTAAATTATATCGTGTCTTTAAAATGTAGGACACGTTAAAATGAGCGTAATCTATGTATTAGTGGTAAATTAATAAGTCAGTCATTGTGTTACCACAAATTACTTAAAACCTGTACGACATTCCTTCATAGATACAAATATTTAGTTTGCAAGTTTGGCTGTACCTCCAAACAACTTATTCCAGACGAAATAATACATCCTAAATTTTAAGATGATGTTGTTTACAAAGCTCGGATCAATCCTTCAAATAAACTCAATTTAAAATTTTTTACAATTCAACACTGTATTTAGATCTTTGTATATTGTTTTATATTGTTTTATTGGTACACATATTGATTTTGTTATCTGTAAATTGAAATCATACTAAACAGTATTGTTATACACAAATCCATTTTAACGGTATTACAATAATTCGATATCTTTTTGTTTTTCTCATTGCACAAGGCCATGTGTTTCTCTGACTGTTAATGACGTCTTTACACTAAATATATTGGATGTTGGATGTGTACGGATCGATATTTTAGTCTTAGATACATGATTTGTTTTATAAGTTGTTATTGGCTTTGAACTAGCTTTCAGCAACTGCGAGTACTATCAGATTTGTACTAAGTGCCTTTTTTGTGGATGAGGGATGGATACATACTCTTCAACGTCCGGTCTGTGTTTTTGTTTGATGTTTTTTTCTGCTTTGTATCGATCTGATGAGTTGAGCCTTTTCAACTGATTTTCATAGTTTATTCTTGTGCTGTGCTGTTACACCACTGTCCCATGTTAGGGGATAGTTGAGCACTCACAAACATGTTTAACCCTACCACATTCTGTATGCGCCTATCTCAAGTCAGGATTCTGTATTTGAGTAGTTGACGTTGGTTCATTATTCATATTTGTTTTTCGTAAATTGTTTTGTTATACATTAGAACGTTAGTTTTCTTAATTGAATTGTATCATATTTTTTCATGGCGGGGCCTTCTATGGCCGACTACTTGGTATGAGTTTTTGTCATTTTCGAAGGCAGTACTTTTGACTATACTTACTACCATTCTTTTTATTTGAACTTTGGTGGATAATTGTCTCATTGGCAATCATACATGAACCACATCTCCAATTTTTTTATTGTTCAAATAAATATGTTTATGTTTATAAATAGCATAAACACATAGATATGCTATTAATCCGGTTGGCCTGTATAATTTTTGCAAGATAGCCGAACACCGACATTTTTTGGCAATTTTTCGGCAAACAGGAAAAATTACAACTGCCTAAATTAAATAACTGCCGTGTTTAACTTAACCAAGTAAAAAAGATAAGGAAAGTCAAAAGATACCAAGTAGAAAGCAAACTCATCAGTCGAAAATAAACTGACAGCGCGATAGCAATTAATGAAAAGGACCAAACAGACAAACAACCATATAAAAAACACAATATAGAAAACTAAAAACTAAGCTATATGTAGTCCACCAAAAAACGGGGATGATCTCAGGTACTCAAGGATGATACGCAGGTCCTGCTCCACATGTGACAATGATCTCTTTCTAATTTAACATTATGATTGTCTATAGACTCGGCCATTCTGTTGATAATAAACACTATAACAATACTAGTATTTTTTTGTTGTTTTGTTTTATATTGTATGGCTATTGCATTGTTTTTTACCCTACCCAAACTTGTCCTTGTTTTTCCAAGAAATGTTGATATATTAAACCAAGAGCGAACTAGTTTCCTCCTGTCATGTAAACATTAAATTTTTAGAATTCCCAATAATATTGAGGAGTTAACTCAACTATTAGCTAACAAAAGAAACGAAACATCACTTTTTGATATTATACCTTCGTTACGGCATTAAATCTTTATCGATCGAAAAGCTGAATATGACATTAGATTAAATATAAGTAGGACACACATTAAAACAAATCACGTATACACTTGCTGACGTACCTTTAAAAACCCATGAAGAATTAAGATCGTAATGCATAGCGATAGTAAAATTTCCTATCGCACATGAAAGGAATTTTGTATCACAGGAAACATTTAATAAATTCATATAATACTTTTAAGTACTAAAATGATAGATGTTTGTTTATGGATTTAGATGGTACTGCAATACTTTTTATTTGATGTAATAAATATATTTCAATCTTACTAAAATAATGTTCATCACTTAGTTTCATATACGTTTTATCAAAGTAGCATTAAGGGTTCCAATGTTACTGCACCAGAGGCGCAATTCGACAACTAATATCAATTTTTCCTTCGATCAATTCAAACTGTTTGCTTTTATAGGTTTTCGATTTCGCAATCTCCTGTCTGCGCATACATGACGTTTGATAGAAATGAAAACACAGACTTCATTATGTAGACATTCCCACGTTGCTTTTTAACATAAAATATATGTACAGTCATAAGTTCCCTAAAACTGGTACATATTAAGCATACTGCACAAGAAATACGCAATACACCTAATAAGTATTGTAAATCATAAAAACAAAAAAAAATGCGGAAAAAATTCTGCGCAATCCTTCCACACTTTAAAAACAGATGTTCTCAATGGACTATCTCAGATCACATTTAAGTACTCAAATAGTCGAAAATTGGTGTTTGAAATGGATTCAGCTCTACATTAACTAACTTTCAAATACCTTCCTAAAATGAATAAGTTATTTTAGTTTAAATTGTTAGAAAACCAGAGTAAGAACCGACACACGAAGTGCTACGCGACCAAAAGGGAACTTAAAACAGCTAAATTCGTCTATGGTCACCGTTTCCGCAGGGAGTCGGAACCTTGGTTTCTAAAAAAATACTTAATATATCATCGGTAAATTAAACGAAAGTTGTAAGAAGTTATCCCATTACCGTCCCAGGGCTTCTAACAGTCTACCAGCAGTGGTATCGACTCATTTGTAGTAAACGAGATTAACACTATTAATTCATTCGCCCAGAAGCTATTATCAATCTATCTCGATCAAAAATGAGGACGAGTATGTATAAACCCTTAAACACAAGGAGTG